ATGCCAGGGCTCGTGCCTGCCTGTGGAGAAAGGAAACAGCCAGTTTGGGAAGGGGAGCAGGAAGAGGGACGGAAGTGGCTTGAGGTGCTGAAAAAATCAGGAGGCTGCTGTGCCTGTCCTCCTGTTACTTCTCCCATGCCAGGCCCAGCGAGCTGCGGGGGAATTGCTGCTCTTGCAGTCCTGGCTGCTTCAGAGCTTGCTCACATGTCCCTGGCTGCCCTCTCTCCCTCCTTCCACACCTTGGAATAAGCTAAGTATTGACGCCTGCTGTGCCACTCATGCCAGCCTTGGAATTTTGGTCTTTTTGTTTGGTTTGAGTTTTGCAGCTGCTGGATTAAGGGAGGATGATAGAGCTGAGCTGGCAGCTGAGGTGTGCAAGGCAGCATTGGCTGCTCATGTTAGAGCAAAATCCGGGGGGGCTGTTGAGGGATTGCACAACTCTCTTGTCATGGGGAGCTACAGCTAGAGCCAAGCTTGGCATTGAAATCCCATTGTAGCTGCTTCAGAGCTCTTTCTGCAGGGCTCTGGTTAATAAATACCCTCTAAGAAAAACTGTTTCTGTGAATCATACAGGTAGTGGACTTCCATTCAAATATGAAGTACCTTGAAATCCTCATTTCCCCTACCACCACTTTTCAATCTCCCATTTCATCTAAGGGTAAGGGTGAACAAGGTGGGAGGATGTGACCGCATGCAGTGCCCCTGTGCCTTGGGCATGGCTGCAAGGAGGTGACAGCACAAGGAGGTTTTGGCTTTTGCCACACTGACCTGTCCTGTACGTTGTGTGGGAGGATGTGGATGGAAAGACTTCTCCTGCCGAGCTTGTTGGGGAACGGTGCCAACTTTCTGGTTGTGCTACTTGGCAAGTGCCTGACCAAGGGCTGGGCTGGACAGGACAGAGCCTGCTATGAGGGAGCTGCTCCGGTGAGTAAGGAGAGCTGACATTTGGAAAGTCATCCTCAGGCTTGCAATAACTTAATTAAGTGTTTATTAGGATAAAACATTGCCAGCAGCTGTTCAGGTGTCTCCTTGTCTTACTCCTAAGAAGGTTTTCTCTCCTTTCATTGTGAAGCAGTTTTAAAAGAAAACTGCAAGGTTCCTTTTTGAGTATTTTACACTGAGGACTGAGAGTTTCTTATTGAAATTGGAGGGTGATGCAGATTCTTCTGGCTGGTAGCTGGAAGACATTGTCAGGGGGTCGTGACAGCGCACCCAGTGATTTATGTTATCACATATCTTTGGCACAGCCCCTAAACCAGTAACACTTCGTTTTATGTCCTCAAACCCCAGTGTATTTGGTGATTGTGCTTGCAGTTTATGAATGGAGCTGTGCAGCGTAACATCTGGGAAGGCATTTATTTATTTGTTTGCCATCTGTAAGTTCTGTGTGGATCTCATTTTGTAGCGTAATGAGAATTTAGTTTGAATTGTGTAGTGATTTTCTTGTGCGGGAGGAGCTCAGCCCTGGGCAGCACAATTGGGGAGCACAGAAATCACTTCTGTTTCCTGCTGTTACTGCTGGTTAGGAACAGAGCCTTCTGAGAGCAGTGTCTGTGCTTTCTGTGCAAAAGGCTTTAAAGAGTTCTGGTGTGACTTCTACAATTTCTACAAAATCTTTTCTGCCTGGGAGGGAGATTGATACGAGTAGTGATTTCTGTAGGAGTTGCTTAAGTCTTCTACTTGCGTTGGTTCTCTTCCCAGTGAGCAGGGAATTACAAATAGCACATCACTGGTGGCCTTGAGGCTTCACTGCAGAGAACACAGAACAGAAGGGGTTTTTCCCCCAGCTGTAGTGCTGAGGATTGTGAACTCTTTCATAGGTATATTCTGTGTAAGTCTTCTCCTGAAAAAACCTGCTGTGCAGTACAGAGGACTGATGACAAGCCTGGGATGCTGATAAAACACAGCTCAGCTTTGTTACCTGTGCCAACTTGGCTCCTTGTCTTCTGCTGTCTTGGCCTCAACTTCTCCCCTACCCACGTTGAGTGTCTTTTAACACCAGTCTGTTCCAGAAGTGTTTCCAAGAGCACTGAAGCTCCCGTAGGCTCTGGCAAACCAGATTTTGTGAACTATTTCAAAGCCCACACTTGGGAGCCATCAAGCTGTCAGCAGGGTGAAATCAGTAGTGGATGGCAGCGCTTGTTTTGAGCCTTAATTGCCCTTTACACAGACATCTTTTCTACCTTTTGTGTTTTTGAAATGTCTCAGCCTGTTAGTATCACACCCAAGGAATCCTTTTTCTTTATGTATATCAGGGGCAATATCCAAAGGTGGTCTTGCCCTGAAAAATGGTGCTTTAGGTGAAGATCATGGCAAGGACTGTCACAGGATGGACCCAGGATGGAGCAGCCATCTGAGTGTAGCACAGACAATGTCAGGCCAATGATTGCTTTTTTTGTCCATGTAGTGCATCACAGGCACCAAAATCAGCATCTGCTGAATTCAGTACTCGAGCTACTTGGACTTTCCTATGAATTTGTTGCCTTTCCTCCCGAGATTTTCTTTGCTGCTTGAATCTCAAAGCAAGAGCTTTGTGTTGTATGTGTCTGTGTATTAGAGGTTTCTTCTCTGGATACTGATGCATCTGGGGTTAGAATTCAGGGCAGATGATGCCAGGGCTGCCAGTAGTGTGCCTTGGCTGCACAGTGAGTGTCCCCACAGCTGGATTTGGCACAAGGCTCTTGTGTCCTTGGAGCTGCTTTCTCCCAGCAGTGCTGATGGCCATCTCCTGCCCTGCAGGAGGTGCTGCCCTCCCTGCCTGACCTCTGTGTTCCACAAGAATGATCTGCTTTGCCACATTCTTCAGCTCTTCCAGCCCTTTGTATAGGAAATTACTTTCCCTAGTCCTACCAAGTTACACTTAAAGCATGGTTAATGGCCCAAAACAAGGCTCCCCTGGCCTTAGGAGAGAAGGTGGTCTCTTAGAAGGATACACCTGATGGTAATATCTTTAGTTCTGCTGCTCTTTCCTTTCTAGGCTGGTGGCTGAGAGCTGGTGATAAGGGAAAGTGATGGAATTGAGAAGATTTTTCACCTTCTGGTCATCTGAGCTACATGCTGCATTATCCAGTAAAAATAGTTGCTAATTCCACCTTCTGGGGGAACCTCAGGCACAGGCTAAAGGATTGCTATTAGTGGTTGGCTTTGCTGATAAAATTAACTGTGTGAAAGCTGTTTGTGAGTACTGAATTCTTTCTTCTTCTCTAAAGCCTAACATATTTTAACAGTTTTCTTCTGTGGTGAGATTATAATGGGAGGAGGAAAATTTATTTTTATCAGTAATACTATAATTTTTTAAGTGTCTTTAAGATATCTCAGTGTATCTAGTTCAGGCTGTAAGAAAGTGTGTACCTTGAAAACTTTGAGATGATTTATTTGTCAACAAAAGCTAGAAAGGCTCAGTGAAATTTTTTTAATACAAGAATGGTCTAAGGGGGCATGTTCAGTGTGCCAAATTAACTTTTTATTTTTTGGTTTTAACTTTAATATAAAGTAGAGAACTCTCTGATCCATTTTAATTTCAGATGAGTGATTTTCTCCTTTTCAAAACTCTTTTTTTGTTGAAACATCCAGAGCATGTTTGACATCTGGTTCAATTTTAGGAAAAGAAGTTCTGGGAGAAACTGTGTCACTCAGGAGTGCTGAGGGTATGACAGCACGATCTAATCACTGGGTTGTGCTGCAGCCTTGAGAAAAATCTTTCTGATTCTGTGCATCTGCTTTTCTGGAGCTTGGAAAACTTCATTTTTTTTATATCCCTGGCAGCAGAATGGAGAAGTGCCAGAAATATGCTTGAGCTTCGGGGGAAGTCCAACTTTTAACGCAAGCTTTTCTAATTCTTTTACTTATGAAAATGTAGTCAGAAAACTCTTTGCTAAAGCAGTCAACCCAAATAATGAAAATATACAGCAGGGCTTTTTATTATTAATTTCTCAGTCCTCATCCCTTACAGGAAGGGAATAGCTAACTAGGTTTGATATTTGTTTAAGTGGAAAAAGGAGTAAAAAGTTCCTAAGCTCTTGCTCAGCTGAAGAACAACCCAGCATCTTTTTTAAAGCATGGAGCTGTTGGGATGCACAATGCCAGGGACTCTCCCATCCTGTCTTATCATATTCATCAACCACCTTGTTGACTAGAGAATTGTTTCTGGTTTCCTTCAAAGCCTCTAGGACTTTCTTATCAATTCTGAGAAAAGCAGGAACCCTCGAGTATGCAACAGGATGGCTGCATTGCAGAATCTGGAGTGTGTCTTGCTTTTTCCACGAACCACAGTATCTGCAAGAAAATGCCTGGAAGATGTGCTTAGAACACCAGCTGTTTCTCAGTAATTCAGAATTCTTTATTGCCCCTTTTTTACAAACTTCTCACCTCATGTGACTTCAGAAAGGGCAAAATCAAGGCATGAAGTGATGGCCATTTTCACCAGCATTACAGTTTCTTACTTCAGTGATTTATAAGTCTTTGAGAGCTAATCATCATGCAACTCATAGAGAGTAGTTTTATGATTTCTTAATCTGTTGTATACACTCATTTTCTTTTGGCTAACTGCTGAAGGGAGACATTTGTTTCTGCAGGGCATCAGCTGTGTCTGAACCACAAAGCTCAGGGTTAATGGAGTCCATAATTACCCAGATGCGTGGGCTTGTTCTATTCATCACCATTTAGAAATGTGGATCTGTCATCTTGACTTTCAAATCGAAAATGTAGCCATAGGTTAATCCCCTCTGCCTGCTCAGGTTGCACCTCTGGAGGCAGAGTGGCACCAGCATATGTTCTGCTTGTCAGTGTTTCTCTGTGTTGTTCTCAGTTATGCTTTGAATATTTGTGGTACTTACACGGGGGGAAAAGTTTTTTACCAACAGAATGATTTGATCTAAATCACTTCCTTGCAAAAGAACAGAGCATGCATTCAGTGTTTTTAACCTCTCTTGTTCATTGCTTTTTTCCTTTTTGAAGGCAAGACACTTTTCCTCACTCTGTTTTTGTCTTCTCTCTCGCAGCATCAGCGAAAGCTTCCTCACTGTGAAAGGTGCAGCTCTCTTCCTGCCACGAGGAAATGGGTCATCCACTCCCAGGATCAGTCACAGGCGAAACAAACATGCAGGTAAGTGTGGTATCTATGGCTGGGGCTTGCCTGCTCCCTCTTGTTTCAGAGTCCACCTTTCTTGAGCTCATTCTCACCTGATGACATGTTTGTCTGACCCACATGTGTATTAATGCCTGACCTGCCAATCTCAATGCTGATGGGAAAGAAAGGTTTCAAAACTCCTGTTAAAACAGGATCAACAAATGAGTGACATCAGGGCAGCAGTCATGACATGGTGGAGACTTGAGAATGAGTGCCCCCCAAAATCCTGTCATTTTATTGTGAGAGAGGGAGGGGAGGATTGCCTTCAAAACCTTCATGCACTGCACTGCAAACCTGAGGTTGTGATACGGGGTGAGTAATGGTCCTTCCTAATCTGAAAGTATCCGGTTATGATGAAGGAAGGGGAGGAGGCTTACCAAACTTACCTCCATGTGGGGGTGAGGAAACCTCTGAGCAAAGTCAGTGTGACTTCTCAGAGGTGTGAGCAGAGTAATACAGAGTCAGTTATAATTCTACGTCCTTTATCTGCTGGAAGTTTGATTTGTGTTTTTCCTTTGACTCTCTTTGAACGGTTGCTCTGAATATTGTAACTCAAACATTTCAGGGTAGGGTCTTTTTCACTGGTTATACGGTGCTTAATCATTGATGGTGTTTTACAGGGATCAGATAGCATGGGGATTTTTCCCTTCCATAAAGCAATTGGCAGGAAACAAAAATAAATTGAGACCTTCAGACGTTTGCAAATGGGACAGAGATAGAAACAGAGGCAGGAGTCAAGGTGCTTTGCCAGAAAGTGACGAGGAAAAATGTGACTTGGTTCCAGGTGTAGATCCCTTTGTACTTTGATACCATCAGACTGTCATCCACCTCTGCATCTGTCAGAGTTACGTATGTGATGACTGGCCACCTCAAAATCTGTTTGCAAACATATTTATAGAAAAAGTTAAAGTCAGAAGGCATTTAATTATATACTTCCCTCAAATATAGCACAAGCAGTACCCAAATTGCTTTGGTGAGATGCATTAATTACCAGTTGTCAAAAGAAAATGTTCTGAAACTTAATTTAAAGCTGGCCTTTCTGGTCGAGAATGAAGTGACATGTCCTTTGGTGTGAGAGTCAGCAGTCTTTAAAAAATTTCTCTTGGCCTGTCTTGTTTTTTAATCCCTCCAAAGTCCATTGCTGAAGCCAAGCTCTCCCCCTAGCACTGCTGCCTTGGCTTTGCCTCACTGAGGAGACCCAAAGCACGGTTTTCCTGCTGAACCTCTGCAAAGCAGCACAGACAGCTGTTGAGTCTCACTCCATGCCTCATCCACTCGCTCCAGCTGATTTGCATGAGGTCTGGAGACCTTGGTGGAAAATAGTTGCTTGGCTAATCAGCCCAGAGCTCTTGCAAGCCAGATTGCCAAGGAAGCAAATCCGGTGTGTTGCAATTGCTTACAGTGAGGTGTTTGGTATTGCCGAGGCTGGCTTGCCTGAGGGGTGGGATTTTTGTTCTTAGAAGTCTTACTTTATTCCTGTCTCTTCAGTTTACAGGGTGAGATTTAATGAGGCATCAGTGCTTGTCCTTTCCTCAATTTCCCTGCCTGTCAAGTGATGGAAATGCTCTAGTGGTTTTGTTACGTTGCTTGGAGGTTTCACTGAAGAGAGTCCCTTGTCTGAGTGTGCACCAGATTTCTGTGAATTTTTCTACTATCATCAGAACAAGGCACCAGGGGATCAGTGTGTCACCTTCCTGAGCAAAACATCTGTGCCAGAATTAAATCGGTGATGTGGAGAGCTTGGCTGGCACTGTTGAGTGCAGCTGCCTCCTTTCTGGGACACCGATAATCCATGCTCAGCTTCCATCCCCATGTGTGTCGTGACTTATCTCTGGCTCACAAAATTAGAAGTGGGTAGAGAGCAGACATAACTTTCCAGTATGGAATTGCTGCCTATAGATGCAATAGTATTTCAAGTGGCTCCAAGAGCAATTTCTAGGAAGGCTGACTGGCCTCCCTGACCTGCCTTTGTAATTCATCAGAGGCGCTAGAATCCAGCATGAAGAGTGAATGGGTGAGAGGAAATAATTCATGCTCACACCCTTTTCTCTAATCACACTTCCATCAATGGGAATCATGGCAGATTGACTAGATATGGTAGCAGCTGTCCATATTCCTCTCTCTGGGTGGTCCTGTGCCACCTGGCAAACTTCTGTGGGATGGTGGCCTTGCTTTTCCACAACAAACAGTGCTGGAGGAGGCCAGAAGGGGATGTAACTTCCCCTGGGGCTTTTGCCATCTCTGGAATACCCTGAATCACTTTTCAGATCCCACCCTTGCTCATGCTTTGCACCTTGCCTGCCAGCTCGAGGAAACAAAAGCATCTGCTCTGCACAGTTCAATGTGATAGGAAGCAGCAGCCGTGCCATGACTGCCAGCAAAGCCAGCTCTTCACAGGACAGGATGTGATATCTTTGTGCTGGTTCTGGCATGTTAAAGCCTTTCCTTTGGTTTTTTTTAATCCAGGAAGTTTACAAAATGCCTTGTGTGTTTGGGGCTGAAAACCCTGCAAGTTGATTAAAGCTGGCCAAGGAAGTAATCCTTTACTTTCCAGTTCAGGAGATCCTAAGGCTGGCAGAGGAATAGGGAGGAGCGTGGTAAACTTTGTGAGGATGAGGGATAATGGAGCTCCTTGGCTGAGCCTTGCAGGAAGGGTTGTCGTAGAAACTTCCTCTCTTTAAGTATTGAGATAATCCAGTAGTCCAGGTGATTTTTTTTAATTCTGGAAAGTTTGGCTCTTCAGATGTTCCCTGAATTACTGGCAGCAATAAGTGGCAACTGCTACATTTTAGAGATGGAAAAAGCTGAGGTGAAGCATCTTTCATTTCAGACTAAGGCATGTGGATGCTTCATTAGTCAAATCCTTGCTGAGCTCTTCCAGGCTGTGGGCAGGAGGTGCAGGAGGACCTTTGCTTGTTGACTGACAGTTCTCGGCAATTCCCGCTGTGTTATTAGCTGCAGCTTGCTGGAACTGAGCAGTGCTGTCGGGATTTTGCACTGGTGTTGATGTGGGGAGATCCTGTCACGACACTCGGGGCAGAACAAGCGTCTGATGGATGACTTGGCCTTCCTGAGTACCCTACCTCCATAAATAATTTCTATTTAGGGAAGCTCGTGCCAGCCACTCCTGCACTGGGAACAATGTCCATGGGCAGGAAGCAGCTTCAGGTGGTTGTCGCCGGTGATACTTTGTGACTTCCCTGGCATTGCTGAGTGCCTCAGTTTTCCCATCCCCAGTTAAAAATGCATTCCCAGAGCATTGACTCATTCTCCATATGCTGAAATGTGTTTCAAGGAGGAAGAGGAGAGCAGGGATTGCAATGTTCTGTGTAACCCACTCCATGCTAGGTTGTCTCTGTCCCATCCAGAGAGGGGCTGCACAGCCCTTCAGCCTTGCTCTTCCACTATAAAAATCATTTCAAAACCAGGTACTCTCACTGAGCAACCTTTCCTTTCTTCTCCTTTCCTTTTTTGGTATTTCTGGATGCTGCTCTGTGTCTCTTATTTCTTAGAGTCTGTGAAATAACATGGATTCTAGTACCACTGGTGAATCAGAAAGGGAGGTCAGGGGGATTAACCAGCCTTCCTAGAAAAGGTTCTTGTAGTTGATCCTGCTGAATATTTGCTCCTTGCAGTGTTGTCTAAACTCAGCTTCCTGGCTGTGGGGGAGTGGGAGAGGGTGGAAGAGTAAAGGCTCCTCTTCTTGCTGATCTCTGCCACCCACCTGGCAGCCCTGCACTCTCCTTTTTGGGAATGCAGACTCATTTTCCACGTAATGATTGAAAAAGCAGCCCTTTGCAGGAGGTGTTGCTGCTGGCTAGTACTTAGGGGGTGATGTTGGCTCTCTTACATGGCAGGAGTAGTGCTGAGAAGTCAGTGCAGCGGTACTGACAGAAAATCATCTCACTTTTCTTTGAAATGCTTGGTGTTTCAGGAACCTGGGACACTTGTCTCTCCTTAATAAGACTTAAAATCACAGTTATGCACTAAATTTATTTTTCCTCAGCTTCATCAGGAAAGGTGTTGCAAGTGTTTTCTAGGAAAAAATTATAGGTGTTTGATTTTTCAGCTGGCAGTTTTTAGCTGCTTTTGGGTGGGGTTGGTACACAACCATAGGTGAGCATGTGCTGTTCTAAAGCAGGACTTAATTTCAATCCAAGGAGAGTATACTTTTTCCTGGGTAGTAGTTCTGCACTGAGTAATAAGCTGGTGTAAAATAAATGACAAATTTCTAGTTCAGAGCACATAGTAGAATAAGATGTTGAACCACAGGGTGGGGTCCATTTCTGCCTAGGTTGACTTGTCTGTCCAAGGAGCAAAGAGTACCAAAATGGTGTTTATTTCTGTTAGAAAAAGATAACAGAATTTAGCAGGAGAGAACACAGTAGCACAGGAACTGGTGAGCACATGGAGCAAAGAGCAGCTGACTAAGAGATGACGAAATTCCCATCTCTGAGTAGGTAGGAGTGACAGTAACGAAACTCCTGGTGACATGTCAGGTTTAATGATGGACATTTGCTCTGGCTGGACAGCCAGGAACTTGCATGTGATTTAAATCTTTCTGTGTGTTCACCTTGCCCTCTTGCCCGCAGGGGATCTCCAGCAGCACCTGCAGGCCATGTTCATCCTGCTCCGCCCAGAAGACAACATCAGACTGGTAGGTTGGCTGTCTGCTTATCTCCTGTGAACCAATGCAAAGGTTAAGTGCCACTTGACAAACACACCTGTGTAACTCAGGGAAGCAGTGGGGTGTGTGTGTTGGAGTGGTTCCGTCATCAGATTTGGGGAGTCTTTGCAACCATGAAGGTAGGAAAGCAGCTAGTTGTGAAAGGACTGCTTTGATTGTTCAGTGAGACAAATTGTATGGCTAGAAGGTTGTCTTTGAACCAAGTGCTGAGTATTTGTGCTCTCAAAAATATTGTAACAATTGCCAGAGAGGATGGGTAAGTTATCTTGGTGTCCTGTTTAAATCAAGAGTAGGTGACCAATATCTGACCAGTGTGAGTGAGCACCTGCCTTTCTGTTAGAGTTCAGCTGTGTTCCTCACTCTGCTCTCCTGACCTGTGGCATCCCAAAAGGCCATGGGCGAACAGGTGGGAGCATGTAGATCCCCATGTAGCTATGCATCTGCACTGAACCTTGGCCTTCTGCTTTCCTGGGCTGTTGCCTTCTACAATGATGTAAAATAAGGCATTGCTGTTCATAACATTGATGCACAGTCCTGAAGAGCTCCAGAAGCCAAGTATGAGCAGTGAGGAATTTGCCTAGGACATGTTGAAGTGCTCTACAAGGCCAGGCATGACTGCAGTGAGTCTGCACCTTTCATCACTCAGCAGCCTGAAGTTTGTTTCCTGTGTTTTCTTGGTGCTTCTTAGCAACATCTGCCCAAAGAAGGACTGCCAGCATCACAAGTGTAATTCCAGCACCTCTGGTTTGCTGAATCCTCCTGAGTTGTGCTGGAGATGGACTGATTGGATGAGTATAATTAGGAAACAGCCAAGATGGATGCCAATAGTGTGGAATGCTTTAGCTTCCCAAATGACCACCGAAAAGAATTTGCCATAAGCAAGCCAAAGGACCTACTCACCTAAACTTTGCCAGACACACCTTGCTGTCACTAAAATTTCAGTGAAAGTGATGGGAATGGGGGTTCTCAATGCTTTTCAGAATTTGAGCCAGGGTTAGAACATTGGAAGCTATTGAACAAGGCATTGTTCAGCAGTATCACTGGCTACATTGTGTGATTTGGGACAAATTAGCCTTAACAGCTGAATAAGGACTTTGTGGGCTGAGACATAAACCCTTTTGTCCAGAGCTACATTTGGAATGCTGAAATCTTGCATGAGGTTAGGTTCGATAGTCTACTTGAATTTAATTGATTCTTGACGAATGAAGGGTGTGCAGGGCTGCAATGGACTCTCTGATAAAACAGCAGGTACAAATGAGATTTGAAATATAAACAGTACTGAGAGAAATTAATTCTCTTCATTTTGTTGGAGGACTGGCTTCACAGCTCAGGGGGCAGCGGAGGAATCTAATCCTCTCAAAACCTACACTTAAAATTTGGAACAACTCTTGTTTCTGTTGGAGGTGTTGGCAGAGGTATATAGCCTTCCATGAAAGCAGGATTAGAGCCATGGTACCAGTGTAAGATCAGTGGGAAGGAGGAAAAGGAGTTAAGAATGCAAAGTGATTGAACATGTTTCTGTAGCTTGGCAGAGCTGGGAACTTGAAAGTTGGACACATTTATTTTGTCTTCAAATCATTTATTTCCATGAGAAATGTGTTCTTGTATGAAACACCTACTATCATGGAGCACAAAAGGTCAGTATGAACTTCTTGGAATGTGCTGTTCATAAGGGCTGGTGAAATATCACATCATACTTCAGTTGACACAAGAATGCAGCAGAAGATAAAGTTGGCTTGTGTTCAGGTGAGCCTAAAACTTAAGAAGAATGTGGCTGGCCCTGACAGGACTACAGGGATTACTTGTTTTGTTTTGACCAGACTACAAATAACCATCCCAAATTAAGGAGAAAGCCAGCTCTGTGTAGATGAGATGGTTGAGGAAGAGCTTTCCATCTCATCACAGTCCCTGAAGCCATGCCATCCTCCCTAAAGTGATTTGGATTTCAAATATCTTCATTTAAGAGGCATCAGAGCACTTGGTGTGCTCCTGCTGGCAGGTGAGCATGTGAACTGGAAATTCATGGAAAGGTTAGAGATTTATTTGTGGTTTGATAGGCACATTGGGCCTCTAATAGTACCTTTTGAAGTTGGCTGGTTTCCAGTGTCAATTCTGCTGTTTTAATACTCCAGTAAATTTAGCAAAACACATTATCTGCCCAATCGTGATTCTTCACTTTGTGCTAAGGGTGTAAGTGGTGAACCCAGAGATCCACACTAAGCCATGTCCTATTTCTCTTAACTGGCCTCTGAAAATCCCACCCTACCAGCGTGTAGCTACATGACCTTTGCTCACTGTTTGTCTTGCCCTGTTCTAAAGGGTCTTGTATCAAGACTTCCTATTTCTGCTGGCCAAATATGTTTAGCAAAGTAAGTTAGATTTTGTTAATCCTCTTGCTGCTGGCTGTCTTCAAGAGAAGCAGAACAGAAACTCCAGTGTGAATGCCCCAGACGTGGAGCAGCTGCATCTGTCTGCTCCCGTTTTAGGCAAGTCTGTGCTGTATGTTGAGGCTTAGTTCCTAATGCAGATAATTACATTAACCACCAAGACCTTGGTGATTACTTGCTCTTCTAGGTTGAAGAGCACCTTTCTGTTTTCCCGCAAGTGGTTAGTTCTAGAAACAACCATCCTGGGGAGAATTTGCACCTTGAAGGACTGACCACTTTGATCCTCTGTGTTTCCAAAGGAATCCCAGTGACTCAAGAAGCAAGAAGGAAAATAAGGCTGGTTTTAGCATGACTTATCCTAAGAAGATAGGGTGGGGCACAGTCTCTGGCTGTACAGAGCACAGCTGTCTGCTGGCATCAGTATTTGGGTAGTTTCTGTTGGTCTTTGGTCCAACTGGGCAAGTCTGGAAGACTCTCTCAACACTGTCTCCTGCCTGCACTTGCTATTCTGCCCCATCACCAGAGCTGTTGCTCCCTGCAATGCCACTGGGCAGCTTTCCCTGCCGCGCTCAGCATTCCCTGCCACAGAGCACTCTGCTGGGATGGTGGGCTCTGTTCAGCTGACAGGCACTGGTTTAACCTTTGTTGTAGACTCCACCATGTGTTGTGGTCAAGATTTCCCAGCTGGTGGACAGGAGAGCTCTGAGATCAGTAGAGGCTTTCTCTGAGTGGAAGAGATGCCACTCTGACCTCAAGACCAACTAAACAAATAAAGGAGCATATTGGGAAAAGCAGCCTTCTCCTGAGAGAGCTCACACGATAGTTAATTTCTTAGCTTTTTTAAGGATGACTGCTTAAACTGAGGTCTCTGAGCCATGACCCCCTGTGAGGGCCACCAACAGACATGTACATAAGCCATGGCTTGGGAGGACTGCTGGTGTTTGAGGAATTCGGGTTCTGTTTGTGGAGGATGTCTAGCACCACTTCAGACTTCAACCACTGGGTTGCAATGAATTCAGGAACCAGGTCCTGTTGCAGTAGACAGTGATCTGTCCACAGCACGCTGCAAGACTGGGCTGGGCTGGCTCCTTCTCATCCGTGTTTGCTCTCTGCAGGCCCTGCTCAAAGTTCAAGCAGCAGTTTAACAGTGTGGTAAACACTGAGGCCAGACAGAGTCTTGGGGTTGGATTGGGCCATCCAAAGTTAAGGATTAGTATACAGAATTAAGACACTTCCTTTCTAGGGATGTCCTAGTTTCTCTGGTTGGGATTCTGTGACTAAAATAGCTGCAAACAGCTTGGAACGGAGTCCAAAAAGTGTTGCATGTAAAGGCTGTCTGCTGCAAGTCTTGATAAGCAAAACTTTCAGTGCTGGGCTCCCTTCCCCAGGCTCCTCATTAACCAGCAGTCTGTCTGCAAGGCTTCCTAGAGTTCTTTCAGTTCTCACTTCCTTGTGGCTTCTGGAGGAGCAGCTCACCTCAGTGCAGCCTTCCAGGAGCTTCAGCATTGGTCTGACATTCACAGTTTAAGTTCCACTGGTCTCTAAATGCTCTCGGTAGTATTTGATTTGGGGGATTTTGGGCTGAACACCAGTCCTCCTAGAGCTATTTTGGCACTGGGGTACAAGTGAATGTGGCAGGAGCAACGAGGCATGATGACTTTTCACCTTTCCTGGGCAATCTGAATCAGTGAAGGATACGGCTTAGTCACAGGCATATCTTTTCCTGCCAGGTGTAAGGCAGTACGGTTGCTTCTGCACTGGGGAAGTTGCCAGAAGAATTCAAAGGGCCAGCAAGAAACCACTATGAATTAGTTCCTGGATGTCTGTCCAGCTGCCTGGGAAGCTGGTGGAAGGAGACTCATTGGAGCTGTTGTAGCACACAGTAATTTACAGGAAAGTTCTGGTTCTTGGGGCAAAGCCCTCTGAAGGTGAAGGTTCAACACCCGTCTGTCTCAGTGATGGTCCACAAAGCTCACTGGGCTGGGACCATTCAGAGGGCTGTAGGTTGTTCAAAGTCAGCCTTGGTGGGACAGAGCAGGGCCTGCAACCAGATGTGCAGAGTGCACCAGGAACATGCCAGCTGTTGAGGAAGGCACTGTGTGGGAGTAAAGCACTTGTTACCCAGCTGAGGAGCATGGAGCATCCATACCAGTCCAGACTGCATCACTGCTTCTGCGCCTGTCACTCAGCATGAAAAAGTGGCCTGTAAAGGTAATAATGTGTGTTTTGCTGACTGCACTGCTGACCTCTTCCCCTTCTTTTCTTCAGGCTGTAAGACTGGAAAGTACCTACCAGAACCGCACTAGATACATGGTGGTGGTGTCCACCAATGGCAGACAAGACACGGAGGAGAGCATCGTCCTAGGAATGGATTTCTCTTCCAATGACAGGTACTCAGAGTGTCCAGGTGGGGAAGTCCTTGTGCTCACCCCTACATCAAGTTAACTGTAGAAATCACTGTCTGGTGTCCTGTGTTTTCTGGGGATAGGCTGTTTCAGCTTTTTTAGGCTAACACTTTTCTTGAGATCCAGAAGTGTCTTTTTATTTCTTGAGAGGAGGTGGTAAATGTGAAGGCAACAGTGCCTCCTTCCTCTCATTCCTCCAAGCTTCAGGTTTCTGTGAGGATGTTCAGTGCCTCTGAAGAGTAAGGTCCCCAAGCCCTACATCTGCACACCAGAGACAGGGACAATCTTCATGCAAAGAAAGAAAAAGCTGCAATTAGAGAAGCTGGACCTCAGGGTTCAGGAGAGCAGGTAGTAAGAAGGGGACTGTCAGGCAGTCCCTTGCCAAGGGCATGGCACAAAGGCCTGATGGCAGTGTCAGGGTTGGTGATAGCAGATCATGCACACCATATGCTGTCCCCAGTGTGTCATCAGGTTTTAGTGCTTCTTCTTCGTTCATTGAAATTCCCGCTGACCTTTCCACAAGGCTGCAGAATGTGGCTGGGAAGCAGCTTTTGCTGCTGGAAGAACTGTAAGCCAGGTGACAGCAACCCCACAGCTTCAGGAGCAGAAACTTCACATTTAGAAGGGGACAGTGGGCACTTTGGAGAGTGCATGGAGGCACATGGCTCTCTTAAAAATAGTTTTAAGTAAATCTTGGCCTTTACTGGAAGACAGTCAGCTGGATATTCAATTTTGGAAGGTTTCATACTCATGCTTACTTCCAGCACAGCTGCTACAGGAATGAGTGTTGCTTTTGACACTAGTTGGAATAAATAACTTCCAGGTAGTTAGTAGGATCACTAGAAAATATTTTTGAGCTATTTGGCTAAGAAATTGCCTTCCAAACATTGCCTGCTGGTCTCAGCAGCCACCATGCTTGGTTTGGATGCTGAGCTTGGGTGATGCCTGCTAAAATGAGGGACTAGCTTGATGCTGCCCTTGGCTCCTATCTCTGCACATGTGTGGACAGCTGTGACTCAGAGATGCTCTTGCCTTGGGGCAAGAATAACTTGTCCTTGCACAGGTTGTTGTGAACTTGGAACTTGTTGTTGGCTGTGATGTACCAGCACAGACACCTTTGATAACTGAGAGCTCACTGGTATTCAGTCTGTAATAACATAGCAGGTTCGTTTTAGCTTTCTGCTGGAGTTCCTGGTGTTCTGGATGGTCACTGTGATCCTCCCTCCCTGAGCCCACTCGGTATTTATAACTCCGTGTAGACTTGTTGCTATGGTCTCTGATAAGCGCTTGCTGAACAGTACCACTAAAAATACCCCGGCCACCTTGGGAAGCCTTTTAAAAACACATCTTTCCATGAGCTCATCTCATGTTGTCAACAGAAATAGCTGCGTGCCGCAGTGTCTCCTGGTGCTGGGCACCAGGCGTGTGCATTTCCAGGGCTCCCTAGCTGGCCCTCCCTCTTCCTGCTCTTCTCTGAAGCTGGAGACTGGCAGGTGTGCTGGAACCTGGTGGAAATCTGGGAGCACCTGGTGCAAAGCATAAGAGCAGGAGGCAGTTGAATTCAGTTCTTCAAGATGCTGCTTTGATTATGGAGCAGTTTTGCAGCTTTATGAGATTCAGCTCTTTTCATTTAACAACCTGGAGCAGGTTGTGTTGTGTTCCCCCGCCCCTGCCTTTTTTCCATCACTTGGTTTCTTCTTTTAACTTGACTTTTTGCTCAGCCTTACAGAAAGCTGGGGGCACTGTGAGGGCAGAGTAAAGCAGCTGAGAGAGAAGTGGGATTGCCAGGAGGTATCTGTATGGGATGGCTGTTGTGCTCATTCTTGAGGTGTGGGAGGGCGAAGGAGGGTCAAGAGTCAGTCACAGGTGATAGGCTGTGATTGCCAACCTGCCGTGCTGCCAGTCACCCTTTAATTGCATTGCTCTGCTCCCAGTCTCCAGCAGCTGTGGCTGAGGGACAAACAAGAAAATGAAGCTGTGGGTTGCAAAATCAGAGCTAGAACCAAACCTCTTGAGCCTGTGAGGGATTAATCTGTAAAGAAAGCCTTGAGCTAACCAAAGACTGAGCCCCCTCTGACCTTCTGCACAAAGTTCAGTGTTTTGGGATCCTGTTTGCTCTTCTCCTGGATGTGTTAACCCTTTAAGCTTGCTTGAAAGGGTAGTGCTGTATCCTGAATCTGGTTGGTGATCCTTGTCAGGCCCCTGTAGAACAACACTGGCACTGTTTGTCACTGAATCAACATTGGGAGTTTTCATTTTTTCTTTTTCCTAATGAGTACAAAAATATGTAACTGTTGCCATGAAGTTGGAATAATAACATGGTGCTGTAGTAGATAGACTGACTTTCTCTTTCTGACTGCAGTAGCACTTGTACAATGGGCTTGGTGCTGCCGCTCTGGAGCGACACCTTGATCCACCTGGATGGAGATGGGTGAGTGCCTTTTGTGTGTTCTGTGTTAATACAGCTTAGAACAAAGTATATGGGGAAGGATTCTAGTGATTGCAGAGCCCTCACCATTCCAGCAGCCCTCCTTTGTTGACCTGTATCGGGTTAGTAGGCTCAAAGGCCCTTAATCACAGTGGTTGTGGCAGAGAACACCAGTAATTGACTTATCTGTGAATAAACATGCACTGAGACAGTAGCTTATGTGTGTGTTTAAGCTGGAGTAAAGGAGCTTTTACTGGTGAGTGGGTGTGTAGTGAAAGCTCCTTAAAGGGATCCTATTATGTGTTCCTCCATCACGCTTTCAGCAGGCAGCACTCAGCCCAACAGAAAGCAATAATGATGTTTCTCTGCCAAATAGACACCTGACTTGCAGACTCCTGTTTGTGCCAGTTACTCAGGCTGTCCAGTGCAGTGCGTGGAATGACATTTCTTTCCTTGGTAGCTGCCTCAGGATCTCTTTAGCTGGACTCTGTTGCTCCCAGCTGTGGCACTGAATTTGTGTTGCCAAGGTAAACAGCACAGCCCAGCACTGTCCCACTGTCTTAGTTTCATTCCCAAACAGCAGCTGCTTAAAGAAGTTATCTTAGAGCTTTTAGTGTGCTATTTTGATCTGTTTGCTAGCTGAACTCAGCAGTGTATGCATAGGGCTAGACCTTTGCTATTCTAATGTGCTGCAGACTATCAGTTATTAACTAAAAAGTGACTTTTGGGACACATTTTTACTGTGCCCTTTCTCTTCTCACCAGAGGGTTCAGCGTATCAACAGATAACAGGGTGCACATATTCAAACCCGTGTCTGTACAGGCAATGTGGTAAGTACTTACTGCAAGCTGTCCCAGTGATCCTTTTTCCAGATGTTTTGGCTGCTTAAGCTCTTAAAAACCAGGTGCTGCTTTATGTTACTGTTACCTTGAGACCTACTTGTGCAGTCAGAAGTTTCCTTCAGAGACATGGAAGGAAGTTTGGTACCAAAGGAAAAAAGCCATGTAAGTGCTGGTGTACAGCAGCTTTGTCTCAGCTGAGGGCAGGAAGGAATTAGGGTGATTTTCCTTGCAAAGGGCTGCTGCTTTGTGCCCAAAGTCACGTTGCTTTGAGTGTATGTTTGAAATATTTTGAGATGTTCATTGTGATAGAGGAAAGAGAAGCTGCTTGCATTTTTCTTTCCTTTTAGGGTGGTTCATGTAGTGATCATAAAAGTATTTCTGGCTCAAGCTTCTTTGCATTGCAAAAATACATCGCCTGTCAGCGATGCTGCTGTCACCCCAGTGATTTTGACCTGGATCCTTCTGATCCCAGTCAAAGATTTAAAATAAGCTAAAAATAGGAGAGGGGGATTTCTTTCCCAGCAGCAGCTGAAGAAACTTCTGACATCCCTTGTGCAGTGAGAGAGGGCAGACACCTAAACATCTCAGTGCAGTCCTGAGCCCTTGATTGTGCATGTCTGATTTCTGGGTGTCCCTGCCCAGCACACAGGACAGCTGATGGCACAGTAGGAGCTGTCAGCACCCTGTCTTGGACACAAACTCAGTGTATCTTATTTAGGGCTTGGGTATTTGTAGCAGATTTTGGAACCAGAGACATGGGTGCCTCTGCCCTCTGAATTGTGGGCACCTTCACTGCTATCCAAGCTTGTTTTGGGCATGCTCCAATTAAGACATGCAAGTTCTGGCAGCACATGGGAAATCAACAGCCTTGCAGGGCAGCCTCATGCACAGTGCCAGGGGTTTGTACCAGCTGATGAGACATGAGCAGCATCCTGGATTTGGCTGCTGCTTGGTGCTTGATACCAGCCTGAGGAAGAAATTATAAACGTGTAAGTGTTGTTCCCTTGCTAGGTCTGCTCTGCAGAGTTTGCATAAGGCTTGTGAAGTGGCACGGAGCAACAATTACTATCCAGGGAGCCTCTTCCTCACGTGGGTCAGCTACTATGAGAGCCATATCAACTCGGATCAGTTGTCGGTCAACGAGTGGAATGCCATGCAAGATGTCCAGTCCCACCGGCCTGACTCGCCCGCCCTCTTCACAGATGTGTAAGTTGGGCTGGCTCTGCTGAGCCAGTGTTTGACTGTCCCCAAATGAGGAGAAAGCTTCCACAAGAGATTGCTCTTAATCAGGTATTAATTAGGAGAGGCTTCCTGTTCTTTGTAGTAAGTGGACTCCTGGTTAGGTAAACACCAGCACTGGAAATTTAGCGCTCCTGGGGCTCCCTTGCATCTCCTCCAGTCTCTGTTTTCAGTTTAATTGTTTATCTTGGGCTTTAGGCTTGCAGACCTTTGCTTCTGCAAGGTAAGTCCCATGTTACTGGTGAGAGAGGTGTCTTGTCTCTGCTGGTTTTCTCCTCTTGTTCCAGGCCTGGAAGGAACAGGTTTCTCTGGACTTTGCTCTTACACTGCCATGTATCTGACCACATGTTTAGACTAACATGGTCTTTCTATCCTTACTCAGTTAATTTTGCTAAGAAGTAGAGTGTTTATGTATGTACTTCTGAGCCTTTAAACTTAGAAACTTCCTCATCTCATCCATCTGAAACACCTAGGAATGGGGGCAAAGAGCAGTGCAGGTTTTTGTTATTCTGAGGAGCTTAGCAAGTGTGGAACAGGACAGTGTGCAGGTTCCAAGATGCCTCCAGCTAAATGCTTGGGTATCAGGTGATAGATGGTCCAAACAGTGGCTGAGGTAAATGGTTAGACAATTTGGAAAGGCAAAATTTATAGTCTGTATCAACATTCAAGGTTTACCACCCCTGTCATTAGTAACTTCTGATGGTACTGATACCATATAACCTGAAAGGTAGTCTGTGACCAGATGTGGTGCCAAGTGTGAGGGTTTTCACTTGCCCCTTTTGCAATTACTTCACTGGCCCCAGCTGCTTTCCCAGGATAATAGTGCCTTTGGTTGATTTATGCTCCCAGATATTTCCTGTTGTTGGAATCCATTGAGTGAATAATGATGCTAAGCAGTTGTTCAGCTGTGAAGAAGTCTTCACACTTGATTGTTTTTTAATGTACAAGGCGGGTGGCTGAAAAGTTTTGGCAGGCTGACAGATTAATATTTTCTTGTAGCTTTTCATATATAAATTTTATCTAACCCACCCTTTCCCTGGTGGCACCTTGAAATTGAATGATTTCCTTGGGACACTTAAACAGCATTCTCTCAATGGAATCCTGAAATAATGCATGAGGTTAAAAGAACCAGGAACTTCCATTATTTTTATTTGTGAACCACCAGTTGAACACTTGCAACGTCCGTGCCTTCCCCAACCTGGCAGCCTTCCAGAGAAAGCGTGGTGGAAGATTGTCACTGCTGGGTCCCTCCTAAAGATGCTGGGTGAGCCAGCCCCTTGCTGCTGCTCTACTGCAGCTTCCCCTGGTGTTACTCAGGCTATTTTTGCAGCTGGTGATAAGGCCCCTGGCAGCAGAGGGGGGAGGAATGCAGAGGCTTAGCTGCCCTCATCTCTCCATGTAAGGAGTTTTGGAGCTGTTACCTTTCCAAGAAAGGTAGGGAGAGGCTTAGATATTGCTCCAGAGGGTATAATGCAGCCTTCCCAATTTAAATTTTACCAAATACCAGAGGTTCTCTGGATGACTACAATGGATTAGGAGCATTTAGTTGGTGGCTTTCATATACAACTGTGAATCTAAACTGGGCTTTACTGTCACCTGAATTCCCTCCAGCTGAGGACATGCCTGGAGGAAGTTGTGTGAGAGTCTGAGACTCCACAGAGTATGCAGTCTTACACCTATTTTAAAAGTGTCATGAATCCAGTTTGTTTTCCCTCTCAGTGACTGTTGCTTTATTCTGACAGCCCAACTGAGCGGGAACGCACGGAACGGCTGATTAAGACCAAATTAAGGGAGATCATGATGCAGAAAGATTTGGAGAACATCACCTCAAAAGAGGTGAGTGGTGAGGGTGCAGCACTGGAAATGCTGTTGTGCAAACTAAAGAGCTCTGTGCTTCATGCCATGAAGAAAAACCAGAACAAAAGCTTCACATGACTTCCTTGTGTCCCTCCTACCTATGCAGATACGCACAGAGCTGGAGATGCAGATGGTGTGTAACCTGCGGGAGTTCAAAGAATTCATTGACAATGAAATGATAGTGATCCTTGGGCAGATGGACAGCCCCACACAGATATTTGATCATGTCTTTTTGGTGAGTGGTAACAGTGAATACAAAAGTAAGCCCTCCTAACACTTTTCACTATTGACACAGGGGCCTCTGGAGTAAGTTAAAGGAATTCTGAACGAGAGGTTGATTGATCCTGGGGTGAACAAGAGAGCCTGGCTTTTTGGCTCTACTAAACTTTGCCATGTAGCACCAAGCTGTAGAGCGTGTACCAAGAGGATGGAAGGGACAAGGTCTTAATTTTAACAGTTTTTCAGGGCTGTTTACATTGATGTAAGACCAGTTTTGTGTTTTTAACTGTCCAGAGTATCCACATGCCAAGTTTTCTTACGTTTGGGAAAGGCATAACTATAGCAAAGAGGGAGGAGAACTGTGTGACATCCAGGTGGAAAGCTCTGAGTTTGTGTGATCCAGGAGGAACAGAGTAATATAACAAAGAATCTTGGAGATAAGTCACTTAAGGAAACACAAACATTTTGCTGTTTAATGTTTTGCTTGCTTAGTTGCTGCTGGGGCCTGTCTTAATTACTGCAGCTCCTTCTGGTGAGTCAGCGCTCCGCTGGATTTCCCAGCCCCAGAACCACAGACGCAAGTTTGGTTGGGCTGTCAAGCCTTTGAGGTTGGCTCCACTTTAAACAAAGCCATTCCTCTTGGACCAGCTGCTCTTTCCAAATGGAGAGGGCCTCTCCCAGTCTCTGGCTCGGAAGGGATGGTCTCTGTTAATGTGAGCACTCCCAGGATATCATTTTGGGGTAGAGCCAGGAAACTTGGAAGTACCTACGATGTAATGGATTTTTTTTTTTTGCAGACTATGTGTTATAAGGAGAGAGAGGGACCTGTTACAAGCTTATGGTGCTGGCCAAAAGGCAGCTGGATGCACTGCAGGGCTTGGAGTCTTGGCTCTTGAGTGCATTTAATGGGGAGAAAACCTTTCAAGCAAGGCTTGCAGGCAGCACCAAGAGGAGCTGTGGTTTATGTGTGGAATAGAAGTGTTTGCAGAGCAGCTGCTGTGGTGAGGAGCGGTGCTGCTGGGACTGGGCACCAGCTTCACCCAGGAGTGTGTGTGCTGCATGGCAGGGTTGTGTTGTGAGGGCTCAGAAAGGCAAGAAGCTGTTTCCTTCCAGGTGGAGGCAAGAACCCTGTAGGATCCTGTTTAAGGAGTGCTAAAAGAGCTAAGCAGGAAATAAGAGAACTGATGATGTTGGTAATTGTGGATGAAAGGACAGGAGAAAAGTCTTTCACCCCTGCAGCACTGTTCTCCCTACCTGTGGAAACTGATGGTTCCCAGGCCTGAATTAAATTGTGCTTCCTTGACTGAAAAAGGCAACATTAAACTGATTCTGGGCCTTGGTAAATACAATCAATCATCTTCATATGGATCATCTTTCCATTTGGGAGCCATTTTAGGACAGGGAAGCAGAGAGCTTGTGCACCTTAAATTTTGAAGGAAGCCTTTGAGTGGTTTTGTTTTCAGTCAGGTTTGTGTTTGAGCAGGAAGCAAGCGGCTTGGAGGCCCTGCGTGTGCTGTAGAGAAGAGGGTTACCTAGACAGGGTCAGTTAAATGTCTTCATTTCTCTGCTCACACAGGCTTTGAACATGGGGAGAAGAGGTGTAACCCAAGTGAGCTTAGGTATTGCTGCTTTTGATGTTCAAGGTGGGTGTTTCATGTATAAAGAGCACCTGGATGGTTTTTAAATGCAGGCAGTTTCTCCTCTCTGGGGCAGAACTGGCAGCAGCCTTCAGGGAAAGGGTGGAGTGGTCCTGTCTTGCTGAGGTTGATTTGTCAGCAGTTTGCAGGAAGTGCCAACACACAGTGCTGGGCTCTTGTTGGCAGAGCTGCTTCTTATTTCAGAAAGGATCTGGTTAATGGAGTGAGAGGAAGTGCTGAACATCAGTCCTGGTTATCACTTGTGTAACCCTGTGCTCAAAGGACCCCCAGCTCGCCATCCCTTGGCTGGTCAGCTTCCTGCTGTGGTTCACTGATGACCATCCCCTTCCTCCAGTAGTGCCTGGCCATGCCTTCCTTCTGCCTGATGTGTCCCTTTGCATGTTTTCCCTGCAGGGCTCAGAATGGAATGCCTCCAATTTGGAAGATTTGCAGAACAGAGGGTGAGTAGCTTTGGACCATCAGCTTAACAGCAAGAGCCTGGCCTTAACACTTTTCTATGCAACAAACTCTGTTCCATACCTGCTGTGTAACCTGAGTCTTACTTTAGGGTTTGCAGATCCAAACAAGCTCTTCCTCCAAACTCCTTGTCCCACAAACAGGCACCCTGAGAAAAAAAAAATCTTTTTTAGTAAAAGAATCTTACTTCTGACCTTAACTAACATCTCCAAGCAAACAAAGGAAGGCAGCAAGCTCATAGCTATAGGTAGTAAAAAGCTGCAATTACTGAACTGGATGCTGCATAGTTGGCTCCATGCCCTCAGCCCCAGCCCATGGTTGTAGTCTGATTACAGAGGCACTTCAGACCTCCAGGCTGTGGCAGGAAGGAAAATGTGGAGAAGAGCATTTGTTCCTCTGAGTGGGGCCCAGTAGGAAGTAAAATCCTGTAGCTCTCAGGCTGAGCACAGCTGGGTTCCTCTGTTTCCTGCCCTTTCTACTTTTCAAGTTTAGATTATCCTTTCTCTAGACCAGGTGGTTATAAGCACCAAGACTGTGCAATTAAATAATTATTAATGGGTTTGGCTTATTTGTGCCAAAGCAGTGGAAAAAACTAATCAGACTGGTGAACTGATAGTGTAATTCTGTACCTCAGAAATTCAGCCTGGCAAAATTGACTCTTCTTGGTGAGCTCAGGGTCTGCTGTGGTTTCCTTGAGTCCAACAGGTCCTACTTGATTGCCAGTGATCTCATACTTGCTTGGGAAAAGGAACGTCACTCTGTTGCAGTGATACTCTCTTGTTCTGCCTGGTACCCCAGCATGAGTGCATTTCATAAGCATCTTACAAGTAACCCTCAGGGCTAAAAATACTGAATGCTGTATACATAAATATCACATGCTTTCTCTAGCAGTTTCCTTTCCAGAAAATTTAGGGATAAGAAATAAATCCTCCCCAGTGGCTCATTGTCTGTTACATCTCTCTGTAGTTACTTTATGTGTTTGTTTAGCTCTGGTGTTACTGAGAGGCTTAGTCTTCCATCTTGCCATGGTTTTGGTGCAGCAGGATGAGAGTTTCATAAAGGGGCTTGGAGAAAATGTGCAAACACTGATTGCAGGAGCTCCTGTGGCACAAGTGTTGCTGATAAGTGGAATAGAGGTGGTGAGCAGTGTGACCTGACATTGTGCAGAGGAAGTTTCTATCCATGGATCTCTGTTATCAGGCTCTAAACTGCCCAGCAAACCCTACCTGTGTTAGCTGCTGCTTCCTTGCATTAATTCCTGGTTTCCCAGGAATTTTGTTCAAGAGTGCACTTCCAAATACCCTTGGCAGAGCAAGACAAAACTGCAGTGTAGCAGTGGGCCATCTCTCTGAACTGGCTGTGTTTCTCTCTGCTGTTCCCATGCAGGGTACGGTACATTTTGAATGTGACTCGAGAAATAGATAATTTCTTCCCTGGGCTCTTTGAATACCACAATATCCGGGTTTATGATGAAGAAGCTACAGATCTTCTGGCTTACTGGAATGATACCTACAAATTCATCTCCAAGGCAAAGTAAGTCTTTTCAGAAAACACAACACACTCATTTAGAAGATATATATACTAAGCATTTTGTTTTCCTGCTGATTTTCTTAACTGCTTTTCCTCCTTGCCTACCTAGCATCACAGCATTTTCATTTTGTGGTTTGCAGTAGAACATCACTGTGCTAGAGACTGCCCTGAACTGCTTAGTATCTCTCTGGGATGTGTTTCTAAACTGTGACACCATGTTTGTGGTACAGATTCTCTTTTCATTTGGAATACAGCTTGATGCCAGTGGGCCATTTGGGCTGAGTTCAAGAGTGCCACACTAGTCTTCAGAGGTTTTCCTCTATCTCCGTGCTTTTCTGCTTTGCTTCAGAAGAGCTGATGCAACAAAATCTCTTAGGAATATTAATAAGACCTTGTTCTTCAGTTTCTTTGTGTGTCTTGCTCCAGTTTGTAAATTGGATTATCAGATCACATCCCAGACTCCAGCTGTGGCCACAGTGTTGAAAATATGTTTGATAACGCTCTGGTAAAGAAGTTACTGTTTTCTTAAGCTTGTCAGATGTTTTCTGTTTAGTGATCCTCTTTTGTTCTTTCTCCCACTTCAGGAAAAATGGTTCTAAGTGCCTGGTGCACTGCAAGATGGGAGTGAGCCGCTCGGCATCCACGGTGATTGCCTATGCCATGAAGGAATATGGCTGGAACCTGGACAGGGCTTACGACTATGTGAAAGAAAGGCGCACCGTCACCAAGCCCAACCCCAGCTTCATGCGGCAGCTGGAGGAGTACCAAGGGATCCTGCTGGCCAGGTGAGTGGAAGGAATTATCCTAATTATCCGTCTTAAGGCATAACACTTCAGTGGTTGACTCCATTCTTTTAGTCAGAGCTTGTATCACTGTGTTGTGCAAGCTCGGGATCTTAAGAAAGGATCTCTGTTCACAGGGTTATCTCAGCTGAGCCTGGGAAAATGGGTGTAACAAGGAGCTGTCAGGAAGCTGTTTGACTTCTAGGATGTTTGGTTTTTGGAAAGTAGCATCCCATGAAGTGTTATCTGAGTGCAGCATTCAGAGCCATGCAGGCTCCAGCAGAGATAAGTGATGTCCCTGTTGCTTGTAACATCACTTGGCAGGGAACTCGCATTGTCCCCTCACAGTTCCCTGTTGAACATGCCCTTCCTCAGCAGCTGGTCTGGTTTTATTTAGATCCTTTTGGTAAGTGTTGGTGTGAGGGGAGGGGACAGGATGTTCTGTGCATTGCAACAGTGGTGTTTATTCCTGCCTGGAATCCTGAGGCTGGTCTGGAGCTGGGCCTGGGTATGGGCAAGTGTGTTGTAATCCCAAGCCTATCACCTGACTAGCAAAAAGACATAAATATTGCATGTTTCTAGGCTGTGTTAAGCAATGTCTTCACGTGATCAGCTGGAAGGAGGTAGTGATACTCTGTCTTGCCAGATTATGGTATTTTGTTTGGGATCCTGGTGTGCTTTGGAAGCAGATCTGCAGCAGAGTTACCCAATCTGAGACTCCTGCCACAGGAGCTGGATCTTAGCAGGTTTGGACCAAAGTAAAGAGTAAATTTTGAAGCTTTTTTGGTGCTATTGGGACATGCCTTCTTTTTGTAGAATCCAGTCCAGCCATTGTTTTATATGCTGTTACAGCAGCTCTGTCACTCATGTACTGTTTTTAAGGGAGCACTTCTTACCTCTGTCCCCTGCTTGATTTTATCCCTTTATGTCTGTTCTATCCACTTGCAAAGACCTCAGTTCTCTTTCATTTTAATAACTTTTCCATCCTCCTTTGCTCTCCACCTGTTCCCAGTGTTTGTTGCTGGGCCAGGCCTGGATTCCCAATTTTTACACCAACCCCTTGGTGTAAGCTCCCCTGTCCCTGGAGTGTGCTTCCTCTTTCCCTGTCTATACAGGAAAACAACCTCAGACTTCTCCAAACTTTATCCCTGACCAGGTGCACCCACAGGATCTTCATCCTCCATCTCTTCCCATGCCTGCATTCCTCTCTCCTACTCCCCAAACCCTGCCTGCCATAGTGAGCCTCTTTCTTTCTAAAAAGCAGCCAAGTTCTATCAAGTCTCAGGACAGATCACGTGGAATAGACAATTTTAAAAAATGGTGCCCTGCTGGACTGAAACCCTTTGAGACAGATACCACACCTGCCTTCGATGCCTCATGTGACACTAAACATGCTGCTGGCACCAGCTAGTAAAGGTCAGTGCTAAACTCTGGGCCAGAGATGACCTGGGCAGTGTGATGTGCATTGAGCAGACTGGGAAATTAGATCTCATTAGATTGGATGGAGAAAAAGAAGCTTTTTAGGTGTGAAAAACACACCAACAGGTTGGTGAACACCTGTGATGAGCTCTGGTGTGGGAACAGCTGGTATCTCACATCTTCAGGCCCAACCTGGCAGTTGGTTTGGGTAATCTGCCAATCTGGTAGCTTGTGACATGCCTGCAAAGACACCCTGTACAAACATTTTGGTTAGGGATTATTTTTTCCTGTCTTTTAGTAATTTATTTTTTAGAGGTATATCTTTCCTGCTGCCACCATTTGGCATGTGGCCTCCCTTCCACTGAAGTACAGCCTTGCTCCTGACCTACTCTGCAAGTCCCTGTACAATGGCACAAGCAGGATTACTTGTGAGGCGTTAAAAAATGCAAGAGCAGTGTGTTATATCTGTGTAGGATGAAAAAGCCTGCAGTAAATGAAGCTTCACTGAAGCAAGGAATGGCCCCTCTGTGCTGCAGAAACTGTCCCTCCTCACCCACTTCCTCTCTCAGCTCCAAACTGTTTTTTTTCCTCTTTCTTTGTGTTATTTAGCTTTGCCCTCTGGCCTCTGGCTGCCTTGTTTATTGCTGCAGTATTCCAGGACAGGTAGAAAAAACAAAACCAAAAAAACAACAGATTGACACTCATGTGACTGCTCTAATTTCAGGGGGAAGGTATGTGAGGGCAGCCATGTGCTCACACTATCCAGTTACAGTTTTGTGCTGGGGTTATAGCAACTGGGATATGTTTTCATCTGTAAAATGAAAACCCCCTGCCTGCTTTTAGTCACAACAAGAAGTGTGTTTTGCTCTTTGGGACTGTCATATTTCCTGGGGTTAGTTAAATTGTCCCCTCCCTCTGTTGATAAACACAGCAAGACTGAGCCTGACCTGTTTCTGTTATTAGTTATAGATAAGTTACAGGAAATCAGTGTTTGGGATCTCCTGTGCCTTGTGCAGCTTGTGAATCAACAGCAGTTTCATACCCAAGCCTAGAGAGCTGGTGGGAGGTGTGGGGGACTCCTGGTCCAAAGCTGGTGTGGGTAAAAGCGCACCGGGAATGTTGCCCAGGAAGGTCAAGAGGCGGCTGTGGGCTCTGGGAAGGGAAGTGGGCTCCTGTTCTCTGATCCTGCACCTCATGCAGGTTGTCAGACTGAGGAAGTGTCACACTGGATAGCACAGCACACCTCTGCCAGTTGTGCTTGACATCTGGTTTGGTCCTCAGATGTGTGCCAGTTGCTCACAGGAGGGTAATTTTCACTTTCAAAATCAAATGTGCAGCAGAGAGCTGGATTTGAGCAGTGAAGTGCCCTCAGAAAACACCAGCAGCTCCCCAGGTTGTGTGACCAGGGATGTCAGATGATATTCCACACAAAGCCCAAGCAAGAACCTGCCTCAGGGACAAGCCTGTTTCTGCTGCCAGTGTCAAAACACTCCAAAACCCATTGGAGACAGAGCGTGTGCATCCCAGGACAGTGTCCTTGGCCTCTGATCTTGACTCTCCTCTCCTGTGAAAGGCCCTGTGTCACACAAGGTTGTCACTGATTATAGGGTTGGAAATCAGAATCTGCAATGGATTCTTTTCCTTAGCTGTCGGGTACCCACAACTGAACTGGTACGTGGTAATTAGCTCAGTACCATCTGTAAATTAACTTAACATGGCCACTGGATGTGTCTGGGAGTGCCTGCTCATGCTAGCAATGGACTGGAGGGGTTTTGCAAGATCTGCAGCTCCAAGGAGGTTTCTGTGGTTTCTGTGTTCCTCCTAGGGGCAATGGGTGGAAACACATCCCTGTGGCCATGGCCACTCAGCAAACCCTTGCAGCCTGGGCTAGCTCTGGCATTTCATGGCAAGAAGTTGCCTGCAGTGCTGTCTGTAAGCCCAGGTGCATGGGTTGGGGTTTTTGGCAGGTGGAGATGAGGAAGGTGATGCAATGCCACTGGCAGTTACTTGGCCTTTCCGTGGCTCAGACTTTCCTAAAGGGGCTTTCCAGGAGCTGGAGGAGTTCTGAATTTCCTTCCTGTGGAAGGTGGGTGGTAATTTGGGCTGTGTGTTTACTGTTGAGGATGTCTTGTGTGGTTTTGCACACACACCTGCCTCTACTCATCCCACTCTATCCCTTGGTTACAAGCACCAGTTATTGGTGACTGAAGCTATTCAGAGAAGGAACTGTGAGGGAAGTTGGACTTTACTCAGTGTCCACCACCTGCTTGTGTCCAGCACAAGGGGTTCTCTGTCTTCTAGTCACCGCTCACCAGATAGCAAATGGAAAAGTGCTGTGTGAGAAAGGACCAAATTCTGCAGTCAGTTAAACATTGCGTTTGTTGTGCTGATGGATCCAGCACTGCTGAGGAATAGGGAGGGGTATGTGGAGCAGAATGATGCCGTGGAATTTAGCTCCTGGAAAGTGGTTTGCTACTGGATCAACTTCTCCAGCAGCAGGTCTGGCCCTGAACTGTTCAGGTGAAGCCTCAGTTGTGGTCAGTGACTCCAGCATATGGCAGTTTTTGTTGTAGGTTGTGTCCTCTTACAACCAGGTGGATCTGGCTGTGGTATGTAGAAATTACTCACTGTTTTCCTTTGCTCTCCTTCCCTGCAGCAAACAGCGGCACAACAAACTCTGGCGCTCACACTCGGACAGCGACCTCTCGGATCACCACGAGCCCATCTGCAAGGCTGGGCTGGAGCTGAACAAAAAGGAGATCACCACTTCAGCTGACCAGATCTCAGAGGCCAAGACCAATGACAACCAGCAGCCCATGTCTCCCATCTACTCAGCTGAGCTGGACAGGGAGCAGCAGCTCCCGGAGGATGCAAACATGATCGAGGATATGTGTGTGAAGGAGAGAAGGATCCACTTAGAGTTTACTTGCAGAGACTTCCACGCTGAGCAGATGGAGGACAAGCTGAACCTGAACAATATCAATGGCTGTACGGCAGGGTGTTGTGTAGACTCTGTCCCCCCTGACAACTGCCGTGCTTCTGAGGCCCTAATGCAGCTCCAGCCCCCCTTGGAAATAACTGAGTTTCCTGATCTGACAGTGGATGACCTAGAAAAAGATGCCCTTAAGCCTGATATGAACGTGCACTTGGTTCCCATGGAAGAATTCACTTCATGCTTAAAAGACTTCCCCCAGTCCCCAAACCAAAATTCCCCAGGTCTTCAACAGAACCCTCAGCCTGAAGTGACAGACCTCAGCACAGACAGGATTGATTTCTTCAGCGCTTTGGAGAAATTCGTGGAGCTCTCCCAGGAGAGCCGGTCACGCACCTGCTCCCATTCCAGGCCAGAGGAGCAAGGGACTGGGAGAAATGGGGTCTCCAGGGTGCCAATGCTGGAAGTGCCACCTGCTGCAGATGGGGGTGCAGATGCTCAAAGGAACAGCCCTGGAAACTCTCCTCAGGCATCCGATGACTCTTCTGCAGATGAAGAGCAACAAAAGGTTAAAATAACTTAGTTTTTTCAGGAACTGCTGCTTGACCCTATCTGTGGGCTGGTTCTTGCTGTGGGGTGGCTGCGGGTGGGATTTTCTTGCCCTCCTTGCACTGGACACAGTGTTTGGGGAGTGATTGCTGGATGCTTCTCCCTTCCTTCACTTTTAGATACTTGCCCTTTTCTGCACTTTTTCCTTAAACATCAGTTTGCTGGCATTGGCAGGGCCATGAGCTGACCTTGACCTGACTTGCTGTGCTGTTCTCATGAGAAATTATTTTTGAGTTTTGCATCAGGAGAGCAGAAAGGTGGGACTTGATCCATTAACATACCCAGACCCTGAGCCCAGCCAGCATCCCCAACTTGCACAGATATTTATCTGAGTTGAGAAATCCACCCAAGAATGAAGCAAAACTGGCCTATTTCCCTGGCTGGGAAGCACCAGCATTGGGGTAGTAAATTAAGGCAGGTGTAGAGCTTCCACTGCTGGAGGAAGAAATTAACCTGTCCAGGTGATTGGGATTGGGCACATCATGGCTCACTTCTCCTGGGTAGAGAGATGGTCTTGAAAAAATTTAGTAACCTCTAAATTTAGGTACCTTTTTCTCATAATTGCTTTTCAGCCTCCAGGACTCTCATAGGGATTGATGATGTCTGAGGCCATCACTTTCTGGGAGCTTCTCTTATTTAAATTCCATCCTGCATTGCTTGAATCTTTTCCATCTCCATGTGAGGCAGTAAGGCTCTTCCAAATATAATAGACCAATGCTCTCTCCTGTGATTTGGCAGAGAGTGTCTGTGGGGATTGGGAGCCTCCCTGGCCATTTTGCTCTGGGAAACCAGAGCATTTCAATGCTTGGTCATTCTTTTTGCTGTACTTCTGTCTGCTCCATACATGAGTGGAATTTGTCATGTTTTCAGTTCAAAATGGTACTTTCAGCAATATTAAGATTCTTTTTGTTTGTTGGACTTCTTTTCATTTAGAAAAACAAGAAAGCTACCTTTTCCTTGGAGTTTGTTGCAATTAAGATCCTTAGATCGTAGTCTAAGTGAAAATCCAGCCTGGAGTATGTTAAATTCAGTTTTAGAGACAGTAAAAAACCTCCATTAGTGATCGCTGCTCTTGTTATCTCTCTCCACACACTGCCACATGCTTTTTTGTTCCTCTGGGGATGTGCACCCCCATTATCTCTAACCTGCTGCTGTTTGCTCCATGTCAGCACAGCTGATACACTTTGTAATTCTCCTGTTTGTGTGTTGCAGGAGGTCCATGAGCTGCCTGGTGCAGGTCATCTCACGAGATCCCACTCAGAAAATGCCATTTCTGTGAAGGAAATTATCACAGAGATCGAATCAATCAACCAGGGAGCAGGACCTGCCCAGCAGAAAGAGGGTTCAGCCAACCTCAGCCAGACACCAAAGAGGAACACAGTGCATGACCTGCCAGTGGAGGTGATTTGGGCATCAGAAAAGTTGGAACAGAGTGAAGGAGCCTGTGCTGGACACCAGGAAAAGGAGAAGGACGCTCTGCCAACTGAGCAGGAAGAAGCCCCATTTCTGCAGCTGTCTTCTGGTAAATCAGACACGGAGGAAAGCAGCTCTGGTGGGGAGCAGCAGGAGCCTCGTGGCTCCATCAACCCTGAGCCCAAGTGGTGCCCCGGCTCGGTCCGGCGAGCCACGCTGGAGTTCGAGGAGCGCTTGAGGCAAGAGCAGGAGCACCAGCACACGGCCCCAGCCTGCACCTTACCCACCCGCAAGAACTCCAGGAACGACTCTCCTGCTGCCGAGCTCCTGCCACGGGGGAAGAGCGAGGAGCCACCCCTGGAGCTGGCTCCGGAGGGGGACAAGGCTCAGGGTCCAGGTGCAGAGGAGCTGCTGCTGCCTCCTGGGGCAGAGCAGCCTGTGGGCAGACACCTGCCTGCACCCCTTGGCCCCCCTGCCCAGGAGTCCCTGCCTGCAGAGCCCAGCCCGGGGCAGGGGGGAGCAGCACAAGAGTGCAGGACAGTGGTCTCATTTGGCAGGACGGAGGAGCCATCCCTGCCCTCCCTCCTCCCAAAAAGAATAGAAATCATCGAATACACCCTCACGGTCAGGCCTGCGGAGCAGTGCCCCGACACAAGCTGTGAGCGGGGCAGGCTGGCTGCAGCCACCCCATCTTTAGATGAAAACTTGAACCCCTCGATGTGCTTGGAGAAGGCTCCAGCAGATCCCTCGCTGCCGGAGCATGCGGTACACAAGCAGGCCGTCTTCACCGTGGGCAGCCCCAGCGAGGAAGGCAGTGAGGTATCTGCTCCCCTTGGTGCTGCTTCTCCGTCTGCCCAGGTGACCTGTCCACCTTCAGCCAGCCTCGAGCGCTCTCCTTACCCCTGCATCATTCACCTGGAAGGCGTCACTGAGCAGAGCACGGGTACGGACGATGAGCCGGTCACGCCGTGTGGCACCGAGGGAGACGCCACTCTCCCGTTCAGGGACGGTCCCAAACCTCTCTGTGGGGGCGGTGCTGGCATCTCGAGGCAGCTGAGCAGCGAGGACTTCACCAGGCAGCATGCTGAAAACACGGACCTTCTGGACATCTCGTTCCTGTGTTACAGCCTCCCTCACAGCTCCAGCAGCCTCAGCGTGGAGGAGCGCTCCAGCAGCCCCAGGCCGGTCAAGCAGCAGGCAAAGGAATTAGAGGCTCGGATCCGGCATGCGGGGCTCACCAGACCCTCCCACATGAAGCGCTCGGCATCCCTGGCCAAGCTGGACTGCCTGGACCTCTCCAAGGATGATTTACACGACAGGGAGTCGGCCTCTTCCAATGCCAACCCGGTGCTTCTCACCTGCGTTGCCCTCCGTCGAGGCTTTCGTGGGGGGAGGTTGGAGAGGAGCTCAGAGAGTGCATGTGGGAAGCATCACCTCTCCTCCCTGGAGCCCACTAAGCATTTTGTGGAACAGCTCAGAACAGCTGAGTGCATTGCCCAGAGCAAGCCGGTGGAGAGGCCGCTGGCTCAGTACGCCAAAGAGTGCAGCTCCAGCCAGCAGAGTTTGTGTTCCAGTGCGGATCCAATGTGGACTAGCTCTGGGGAGGGCCCTCCATTGCTCCAGGTGCAGGTCCTGGACTCCTTGTCTCCATCTCAAGCTCTGGCTGTCGCCCCACGGCAGCAGCACGGGAGAACTCACCCTCTGAGGAGGCTCAAAAAGACCAATGACAAAAAGCGGACAACCAATCCCCTCTACAACACGATGTGATCCTGGGCCCTTGGCTGTGATTTCTTACCCAGAACCTGTGGTGTTGCTTTCACGCAAGGGGGCAGGTGTAATATAAGGAACATGCACTTTATTGGTTAATTTTATATATATTGTCATTTTACTGTTCCTGGCGCATGTAGGTGTGGGTTGGTTCTTCTGTGTGTGACTCCGACTGCAGGACTGTTTGGGTTTAACTCAGATAACCTCAAATGTTCTTTTTTTATTATTGTTGTTAGTTTGTTTTAAAAGAACACCTTTATCATGAGAAAATTAATGTTGGCTTGCTTTGGCAAGATGGAGTTTTGCTTACAACCAGATCCTAGTTCCTAACTTGAAATTTCCCCATGCCTTGAAATGATTCTGGGCAGTTGGTGGGGTGAGAGCCCCTGTAAATGTGAAGGTGGTGCCAAGGTCCCTTTGTTTGGCCTTTATTCTGCAAACTGGAACTCCACCATGCTGGCAGATCCCTCACAAAGATGCTTCAGGACAAATGCCCTGGGCTCAGTTCAGCTGGTGCTTCCCCATAAGGAGCACACAGGGGTAAATCTTCCCAATGGATGAGCTCTAGTAACCCTGGGCAGTACCAAGACCAGCCCTCCTATCTGCCATGGGGCACACAGAGCTCTCTGCTCTGTGCTGAGGTGGGGCAGAGCTCCTCCAGGAGCTGCCACCTCTACCCCCAAAGCCAGTGTTCTTTTAAAACAAACAGCTCATTAGGGTTTTAACCCTCCCATTACTTGAATACTGCTGTGGGCCTTCTAAGTTCATGGCCATATCATCTGTCCTCTGCCCTCTTCCTACTGCCTGCCCTCTGCCCCAAAGCTATTCTTGTGCTGCCTGAGTTTCCCTCTCCTCTCTGCTGTGCCCACGGGTGTTTCTGGTGGCTCCCAAAACTTGAGCTGTTTTTGTTACATGACATACTGCCCTTAATGCAAGGCTTTCTTATCTCTGCTGTCACTCCTAACTCCAGACCCAGAGGGAAAATCTTTTCTGGAAGTTTTTTCTTTGTTTCTTTTCTTTTTTTTTTCTTTTTTTTTTTTTCTTTTTTTTTTGCCTAAATTGTATATATGATATTTATATTAATTTCTTTTTCTATGGTTTAAAAAAAAAAAAAATAAGGGCAAGACTTTATTCTGTAAACTGGAAAACAAACCCACCTGACTCAAACTCAGTGCTGTTCTTCGTGATCTGCACAGACATGGGAGTGGATTTGACATTATAAGCTGTCTTCTCTTTCCAAAAGTGAGCCTCAATGCCAAATGTGTCCCTTCTCCTCCAGTCCTGTGTGAACCCCTGTAATCCCACTGTGGAGGGGCACTGTGTGTGTGCCCATCTCCTTCCTGCTTGAAGCTGGGTTCCAGGAATGCCAGCTGGATGTGGAAACCCTTTGGCTGCTCTGAGCCATTCTGCAGGTTCTTGCTTCCCTGGAGAAACTCTGTGTGAAGGTTCTGCTCCATATTTCAGCAATTTTGTGGTTTCTGAGCAGTTTGGCTAAATCAGAGCTCCTCGTTTCTATCTGGGTGCATCAACAAGTTGTCCCTGTGCTGTAGGAGCAGAGGGAAAGGCCAAGGGGAGCTCTGGGTCCTGTCCACAGTCCCGTGGCAGGTCCTGTCTGAGCTGGTGCTTGGCTGGGGCCCAGACCTGCCCTCTGGGGAGGAGCAAAGCAAAGAGAAGATGCAGAATGGCTCAGGCTGCTGAAACCCAGCATGGAGAGGAGCAGCAGCCAAGCACATACCTAGAAAGCAACCTTAAAGCTGCAGACCCTTGCAGGCTCAGATGGGACAAACCCTTTTGAGCTGGAGAGGAGTGCACAGCAGTGGAGCGCTCTGGAGTATTGGGAAGCAGCATGTGCCTGCCCTGGGGAAGGTGTGTGGGGCATCCTCAGCCCACAGCTGGTTGGCAGGGTTGGCAAGGTAATGCCACCTTGCTGCCCTCTCTGTAGCTCCCAGGGGTCTTTCTGTGCTGCCTTGCAGCCTGGGCAAGGTCTGTGAGTCAGCCACAAGCATTGTCCCTCCCTTTCCTGAACTCTACCCGTGCTGGAGCACAGCCCTGTCCTGGGTCAAACAGCTTGTCATCCCAGGCCATTTCAGTCACTAGAAGTCACCCAAGCCCCCTGGCCCAGGAGGCCAGATCCTTCTTTGGGACGCTGAAAAACATGTGGCTTCTAGCCTTCTCCAGCTGGCTCCGGAGCCAGGCAGACGCTGTGGAAAGGCCAAGTGGCTCATGTCATCCTGGAGAAGGACAGGTTCAGCCCTTGCCTCCCCTACAAACTTCACCAGGCCCTACTGCCCACTGTTCTGACTCCGAGGACATGCCTGCCTGTGCCTCCATGGGTGGAAGGGACTGGTTGCCATCAGCTTGCCTTGCGTTGGAAGGTGCATGTTTGGCTGGCAGCATGTCCTGGTGACAAGGATCTGCTGGGCAGGGAAAAGCCCTGTGTAGAATTTTTTCACTTGAGAAGGCACAAGGAGGAGGAAAAGATCAGGTTTCTTTGCCCAGCTTGATCTCTGGAGAAATGCCCTCTGGGAAGGGTTTTCGATGCAGACCAGAAATGCTGCTTTCTTCCAATACTCAGCTGCTCGCTGGGTGCTTCAGCTAGGCAGAACAGCAGAGGGGCAGAGGCCCCTGCAGGGAGGTGTTTTGCTGTCCCCTTGTCCTTGGCTCTGGCCCAGCACAACTGGTTTTTCTCTGAGAAGGCTGTGGGCAGGCAGAGGGAGTCAGGAAAGGTGGTTCTCTTACAGAGTGATGAAGGCCTTGGAGGTCTGGAGGCTCTGAGCGGGATGGCAGGACAGGGACGGACTGGAGGGATATGGACCTCCTTTTCCAGTGTCTGGGCAATGAAGCCACCAAGCCCCTGGCATCAGAGGTCTCTGCTGGGGACGATTGTCCCTTCTCCATGTTGGTGGCTCGTGGAAGGGTTCCTGTAAGCCACCCCACAAGAGCTTCTTGTGACCCACTGAGCACCATAGGGAGCAGCAGCACCTCCAGGGTGCTCAGCAGCTGACAAGCCTCACGGTAGAGGGGGGTTGGGAGACACGTGTTGTTTTAAGGGCATTTTTGTACAAAGCAACTGTTCTTTGGTCTCTGGCGAAGCCTCTCGGAGGACGCTTTATTGTTTACATTGACTCCTGTACAATATCCCAGCCATCGCTGCCCCGTCCCGGCCGTACTGTAACATGTGAGCCTTGCACAAACGGACTGTGTGTGTGAAACTGGTTCTACACTGCATTCTGTTGCACTCAGTGGTGTGTGTGAATGGTGCGTGTGTGTGAGTATGTGTCTGGTCTGCTTGAGAAGTTGTGACTTGTCCAAATCTCTCCCCTCTCGGCCCTTTCCTGGGGGCACGGTCCCAGCAGGTGGCAGGAAGTGACACTGCTTCTGGGTCACTTGGATGTTTAAACGGAGCAGGGATTAGCTCCGTGTCCCTCTGCCAGCAAAGGGTGGAAGGGATCCTGCCCCAGCTCCGGCTGCTCTGGGGACATCCTGGGAGGAGCGAGCTGGGAATCCGTGGCCACAGGGGCACTGCACCTGCCGGGGGCTCCAGGATCCTCGTGGCTCTCTGGCAGGAGGAAGCCATACCGACCGCAGGGCCCTGCTCCCCGCACGGTGCGTCCTGCCTTAATCCAGTCCTGGCTCCACACAAACCCCCCACTTCTCCCCAAGGGGGGCCTGAGCCCTTGGTGTGGGGCAGGTGCTGGCCTGGCGCAGGAGGGTCCGGGCTGGTGCAGGGCTCGGTGCCTGTCCAGCAGTGCTGCCAGAGGTGCTAACAGCCCACCCGCGCTGCAGACTTCTCTGATGGCACAAGAGAAGGTGCCAGTGCCTTTTATTTTCCTTTATGGAGATGTGACGTCCGTGTGCTGGTTTATAGGGATTGTCCATTGCTGAGCAGCTGGCGGTGGGGTTGTGAATCAGGGAGGGGAGCACTTCTGTCCGACCCTCCTGGATCTTCCTTGGTGGCTGGGATCATCCCCTTTCCCCTTAAAGACTTTATGACCGATGTGCTCAACTGTTTTTAAATGTGAACTTGTGCACTGATGTGCAGATTCAATGGTCTTGTTACTGAATTAATAAAAGTTTTATTTTGAAGATGACAAAGGTGTGTGGCTTCCTGTTTGGGATCAGGGCTGGGCGAGAGGGAGTGATCTGTGCTGCTCTCAGAACACGGCATGGCAGCGGGGATCTAGAAAGCCAGAGCAGGGTTGTTCTCTCTGATGGATGGCCCCATCCTATTCCTGTTCCAAGTGATGGGGCAGTGCTTCAAAGCAAGAGGTACTTCCAGATCATTCCCTGCAGTTGCAGGGAATATTCCTGAGGTTGTGTATTTAAAACTGTCAGGAGGTGCACTCTAGGTGCTCTCCTTGCACTGCTGCAGACACCAGAGCTGTGAGGAGGGTCCTGGGTTTAAGCTCCAGGGGGATGTGAGGTTTTAGCTGGACACTGGACAACCTGTTTCAGGTTTTGGTTTTCCTCCATTTAGGCAATAAAGGCAGTGCATGGGTCTCTGTGGCCTTGCTGTCTGTGAGCAAGGGACTTGTGGAGAAAGCCAAATTCCCTGGGCTGGGCTCAGCCTCACCATCCATGGCAGGAGCTTCCCACCACAACTGAGAGGGCACCAGGATGTGGGGCCAGGGTGGCAGGGCTGTCACTCTGGGTCTGGCAGTGTGTCTGGCTTTCCCCATCCCTTCCCACTCCCCACCAGCACCAGCTGGGAAAAGGCTTCCCATGGCCTTTTCTTCACTTCCTGGGGATGTGACTTGGAGTTGAGGACACAGGACACGCCACTTGCTCCATCCCCAAATACGGAGTGAGCCAGGGCCGTGGTGGGACAGGGCAAGCAAGGGATGCCTCTGCAGCCCCCTCCCTCCCTACCACCTCTTTGGCCAGGCAAACAAGAATGTCACCTCTTCCCTGCCTTTTTGCCAGCTGCCCCCTCCTGCCTGCTCAGCCAATGCTCGTCCAGCTCCACACGGTGCCCTTGTAGGGTCCAGGGCTTTGCTGCCTTTCCAGGAACCACCCCTCCTCTCCCTCTGGTCCCCGAGCCCTACAATCCCTTAATCCCCTTGGGCCAGGGCATCCCTGCAGGGCTGGGCTTCACTAAATCCCAAATTTGATTTCTGGATGTGCCTGTAACCATCCTGTTGGCCTGGGGCTGAGGTGGCTTGCAGACCCCTTTTTCCTGGGCGAAGGTGGGGACCCCGTGGGATGCTGTGAGTGTTGGGAGCCTCAGGAGCAGCCCATGGCCATGGTCCCTGTGGGACTCCCCCGGGCCGTGGGGGGACCCATCACAGGGTCGCAGCCCTGTGCAGAAGTGACCCCCAGGGTGATGCCCCGTCCCTTGATTTCTCCCAATACTTCAGAAAGGCTCAGGGGGCTTTTCCTGCCCCTCATCTCCCAGCCCGACCGGTTCCCACGCACGGCGCCGGGGGACCGCGGGCACCCTTGGGACTCCCCCTCTTTTGGGGTGGGAGCGGAGGAGCGGCCGTGCCGGGGCTGCCCCCGACCCCGCGGGCAGAGCGGGGGGCCGGGCAGGGTGCGGGGGCAGGCGGGGCCGGCCCGGGCCCCCCCTCCCCTCCCCTCCGGTGCCCGCCGCGGGGGGGCCGTGCCGGCCCCGGCGCCCGGCTCGGCTCAGCTGTTCTCTGCGGCAGCGGCACCGCGCGGGGCCGAGCCCAGCCCAGCCCAGCCGAGCGGGGCCGGGCGGAGCGGAGCCGAGCGGGGCCGGGCCGGGGGGAGCGGAGCGGGGCTGAGCGCGGCCGGAGCGGGCGGAGCGGAGCCGAGCGGGGCGCAGCGCGGAGCCGGGCGCGCCCGGGCGCGGAGGAGCCGCCGAGCGCAGGTGGGAGCCGGGCTTGGGGCGGGGGCGGCGGGAGCGCGGTGGGGAGGGACGGGGGGACGCGGGGAGCGGGGCTGAGCCCCCCGGGCCCCGGCCCCTCGCCGCCCGCCGGCGGAGATGGCTATATTTGGACAGTGACCTCTGGTCGTTCCCAAGCAGTCGCTGCGGATTCAATTGTGGCAACGTAATGGCACGGCCGGGGAGCGGGGCTCCTGTATCCTGCCTGTACCCT